AGCAGCAGCAGAGGGTTGCTATGATCAAGGTGCTTTCGGCTTCCCGTTTCAAAACCCCGATACCCTGGAGTCTGTGCTGCTGAACAACCAGCAGCTGCTGGGGCAGCTGCAGCAGCAGCAGCTGCTGCAGCTGCAACCTGCCGCACAAGGGGGCATGCATAGCCAGCAGCCGCAGCAGCTGCTGCTTGTACACCCCAGCGAAATCCTTGCTAGCTCGCAGCAGCTACAGGGGATGCCGCTGCTGCAGGGGAATGAGTTTCTGCTCATTGAGCCTTCTCAGTATCAACACGTGCTGCTGCAGCAGCAGCAGCAGCAGCAGCAGATGCTGCTGCAGGAGCAACTGCAGCAGCAGCAGCAACTCGCCAAGCAACAACAGCTGCAGGCGCAGGCCCCGTGGGACTATATGCCGCAGCAGCAGCAGCAGCAGCAGCAGTTCCACTTAACAGCAGAAACACTCTCCTCTCAGCAAGGGATTCAGCAGCAGCAGCAGCAGCAGCAGCAGCAACAGCAGCAGCAGCAGCAGTAGCAGTCCGCCATTTAAAGCGGCAGCTCCCCTTCCTAAGCGGGCTGCAGCAACTTGAAGGTGCATGGACACCCCAGCATCCTCAGCAACTGTGTTTCTTTCCGTGGCTAGCTAGCTAGCTAGCCAGCTAGCTAGCTAGCTAGCTAGCCAGCTAGCTGAAACATGTATTCTCCGTGACTCTCTATCTTCTTTAGGGTATGTGGCTAGCTCAGCAGTCTGCTTATTGTCTATAAACACTTCCTGCGGGCATCGGATTTAGGGTTTAGGGTTTAGGGTTTAGGGTTTAGGGTTTAGGGTTTCTCAGTGGCAGCCGTTGCGGGGGTTCATCGTCAGCCCTTGGCCTTGTAGTAGGTGTTATTCCGGGTGTATAGGGAGGTTTAGGGTTTAGGGTTTCCGCTCTTGCTTCGGGGCCACTAACACCACGCATGCATGCATGCATGCATGCATGCATGCACGCATGCATGCATAAGATATATATGAAAAAATAAAAGCCCCATTCGTTGCATGCGTTGCCGATACAAATATTTTCCTGGCTCTTAGTAGCCTTCACGCACGCGTGTAAGTAAAAGTTTACTTAATAACAACTGTATAAAGATAAAGATATACACATAACACTGAGAATATTATAATATTATAATATTATAATATTATATATAATATAATATATAAACTATAATATTATAATATTATAATATTATAATATTATTTATATTGTTTTTATTTAGTAGTAGATACAACACGAACTAACACACCCAAGGAGAAAGTAAGAAAAAAAAAAAAAAAAAAAAAAAANAAAAAAAAAAAAAAAAAAAAAAAAAAAAACGGCTAAGGCGACAAGCCTTAAGGCTGAAGCGCCACTAAAGTATAACAAAGAACAACAATTAAAAACATTCTAGGGTTTAGGGTTTAGGGTTTAGGGTTTAGGGTTTAGGGTTTAGTACAGTGTGCCTGTTGGCTGCTCGGCGTCTTGCTGCCTCTACAGCAGCTGCAGAGCTTATAGAGGAGCATTTAATTTATGAGAAAGAAAAGCAAAAGATAAAATAATATATAATGTAACACACAAACAGAAACAATAACAATAT